TCTATGGCATCCGGTGCCAGTGCGCGAGGTGTGGGGGGGGAGAACGCGTAGGCCTCAGGTACGTGACGTAGTTACTCGCGTACTGTCGACGTTACTGTTATCAACTCATTACGGCGCCACGCTACACAAAAGGAAAAGGTAACGGTGTTTTGCGCGGGCGCGCCACCGCCTCAGCGGCCCTCAGCTCACGGGGACATGACTGTAATTCAGTAAAGCACCACGTCCAACGCGCTGCGCCATATTTTGGGCGGCCCTTCCTGCCACTTCAGGCAGCAGGCGCCCATCTCACAGTACTCTCCAAACACCACCTGCGCCTGGCCGGGCCCGCGCCGCTTCACCATCCAGTCCATCCGGATCATCGGGACCGGCGCGCCATGCTTGAAGAGCTCCGCGATCAGCGGCTGCGACGCGGCGGTGGCCTGCCTGTGTGCGGACGCCATCGCGAGCTCGTCCCCGCCAAAGGACGCAAGCGCCGCCTGTGCGGTGGCCTTTATGAAGGTCTGCGGCGCGTCCGCGTTTTCGGCGTTCTCCCACGCCGTGTACTCAAAGTGCTCCGGCCGCAGCGGCGGCGACGCGCCCGGCGCCCAGTCCCGCGGCGGCAGGAAGAAGAGGCGCAGCTCCCAGTCGAAGTCGACCCACTCCTGCGACACGGACGCAGCTACGCGTGAGCTGCGGGCTGCAAAGCGCGAGTCCGTTGCGCGAGAGAGCGGGAGAGGGGCGATAAAGCGACGCGGGGAAAGCGACGCGGGAAAGCGACGCTAGTCCGCGCCTGCTGCTGCTGCTGCTGCTGCTGCTGCTGCTGCTGCTGCTGCTGCTGCTGCTGCTGCTGCTGCTGCTGCTGCTGCTGCTGCTGCTGCTGCTGCTGCTGCTGCGGCGATAAAGCGACGCGGGGAAAGCGACGCGGGAAAGCGACGCTAGTCCGCGCCTGCTGCTGCTGCTGCCTCCGGTCCACACACGGGTGCTCCCGTGCTAGGACAACAAGGCCCCACGGCCCCGTGCTAGGACAACACGGCCCCACGGTACACGGCGCCTCCGCACTAGATGTGGTCCGCGCCTGCACGAGGCAAAACTCGGAGCGGCAGCCCGGCAGCTCGAGCATCGCTCGGAGGCACTCCGCCAGGCTCGCCTCGCCTCTCCAGAACCACACGAACTTTGCCTCCCACGACCAGCCAATCTTGACCACGCCTCTGGTCAGGCGGCCGCTGTTTGCGTCCGCCAGAGACGCGCTCGCCCAAGTGCTGCGGTTGGCCAGCCTGAGCTCCTCCAGCCGCTGCAGGGCGGTGCGAGCGGCCGCCGCCGGGTTGCGTAGCACCGCCTGCCTGCTCAGCAGCGCGCACGCCGGCAGGCGCGAGGCCTCGCACTGCGGCGCGAGAGTCGCCATCCAGCGCTTGCTGGTGATCCACTCCCACAGGTCGGCGGGGTGAGGGAAGGCCGAAGCGACCCGCCCGGTGGCCTCCAGCGCTCGCTGGCTCGCAAACATGTCGCGCCGCTCCACGTACCCGACGTACTCGTCGCTGCTCCAGTCCGTCGGAAAGTCCGCCGGCCAAAGCATCCAGAACGAGGCGGCCCTGAGCCCGCGCAGGAGCCCCGCGATCTGACCCGCCTCGTCTCGTATCGCCCGCATCTCGGCGTCGCTGCCGATAAAGAGGGAGAGTACCTCGGCCGCCCTCCCGAGCAGCGGGTGCTTCAGCACCCCCACCGCCACAAACGCGTCCAAGTACCAATCGCTCGGCGGGCAGCCGAGCGCTCCCCAGCCGCCATCGCCTTCGGCTGCCGGGTCGGCACCCTCGCCCATGCGGTGAGCGCCGCCCCAGCGGACAAGCAGAATGCTCAATCGGGACTGCGACACGGTGCAGGCGTCTCGCAGGTCGTCCGGCCGGACGCGCAGCTCTGGGCTGGGCATCACCGCACCGTGCCGGTCGACGCAAACGTCGTCGATAAACACGCGAGGCCAGGTCTGCTGGTCCTCTTCCCTGTACCGCCGCCGAGCATCGTCGAGGGACTCAGCGTCCAGCGTGCCGGCCACCCATCCGTGAGACAGGCGGAGCTGGGAGGACATGCCGGCAGACTGCCGCACGACAAACGGTGTCGACATGTCGCTCAGATCGCCATCGATGAAGCACTGGACCGCGATGCCTCGCTCAGGGCGTGCGCCGTTGCGCCGCACATGCTGCCTTCTCGTGGCGAGCAGCTTGGGCTTCTTCTTGCGCATGGAGCCTGTCCAGGAGCCACTGGAGCACGAGCCACTGCTCACAGAGAAGGGCGGGCAGCACGCCCGCCACCTGAGACAGCCAGTGGAGCACGAGCCCAACGAGCCCAACGAGCCCAAGGCGAAAAGAATTTTACCCCGCCACTCCGAAAAGAAATTCGCGACGCGAGCCCACAATGCAAAACAAAATCACCTTTCTCGCACAGAAAAGAAATCGCGCCAGCCGGGCATACCGTCTTCATGCCTGCCCCGCCCAACTTGCAGCGTACGTCTTTGGACACCCACCGGCCGGCGGGCGCTTTCGAGGCGAGCGGCAGCAATTTCAGTGTACGTACTTTGAGCTTACTGGGAGAAAAGGGAGGGGGGGCTGTGTTCTCTAGGCCCCTAAGGGCCCTACGCGCGGCGTGAGAGCTCGGAAGCGAGCGAGCTTTGCACGGCGCTCGAGGATGGCGCGGTTCACCCCCTTCATTCACCGAAGCGATGGCGATGCGTCTCTCTCTCTCAGTGTATGTAAAGCTCTTACGTACATTCCCGGAGGAGGACTGCTGATTTTTCTGTCCACCTTTTGCGGTGGGCTGCAACATATCTCCTCGGCTCCAACGGCGCGCAGCGCCGAGGAAAATTTTGGGGCTTCTCGGCGGCCGGTGTGGACGCCGTTGTTTCGCAGCTCGGTGGGGGGGGGGGGGTGGGGGGGAGGGGGCGCCCCTGCGTTTCGCTGCGGTCGAAAATCATTTTGTCGGCGGACGAGCAGGAAGACGAGTATCTGCCACCCAAGATAGGATTCTGTAAGGTAAGGTAAGGTAAGGTAAACTTCTCCACACACACGAGGTGGTGGGGCAAGGGGGGGCAACCCTCGCGTCTCCACGTCTGACGACAGGAGCCCCACGGCATTCAAAGTGCAAGGCCCAATGCCCGTGGGTAAACGGGGTGTGTGTGGGGGGGTGTGTTTGTGTGTGTGTGTGTCTGAAGACAGATGTGTGGGGGGGGGGGGAGGGTGTCTTTGTGCGCGGGGGGGAAGAGAGAATATTTGTCCGGGGGCGAGGGGGGGGGGGGGGTTTTCATTTTCCGCGCGTTCCTCCCGGGGGGTTTTTTTTGGTCGAAAGGTTTTCAACCCCCTCTTCAAAAAACCCTCCCATGGATGTAGG